GTTATTAAATTGCAGGTATAGAATAATATATTGTAAGTCTGTGTGCTTGTGGTTTGTCCTAAAGCCTCATTGGAAAACATCAAATGTAATTGAGATACAAAACGTGTGGCCCCTATTTACTGGTTTGGAGCTGCAATTGAGCCTGCAGCTATGTTTTAGCTGGTTTAGAGCTGGTTTGGGCCGGTTTAGAGCTGGCTTGAACGTGGCCACTTTGTGATCTTGTTTTTAATGCCCTGTGGATCCCTGAAGTGCTGCTGTGGTTAAAATGTAATTGTCTTACAGGGACTCAAGACTCCAGGGTAAATGCAGGAGATGAGACGAACGAGAACTAGAAAATAAGTCCTCACAGCACCAACGGTTTTCTCTGATCAGGGCAGCAAACATGACAAGGGCTCTCATAGTTATGGCTAGTTAAGAAGCATTTACATATTGTATTTTTAATGTATATTTTACTGTCCTGTGTGCAAGCTGCAACCTCAGAATTTTCTCACTGTGGTATAAAAAAAGGTTCTCTTATCTAACAGTGCTGTGGTGCGTTTGAGACTTCTATTTATTTACTGTACATAATTTAGCATCCCTGGAGTCTGGTAGAGCAGCGGTCTCCAACCTTTTTAGTGCCACGGACTGGTTTAACGCCACAGTAATGTCACGGACCGGCATCCCAAACGCACACCCCATCGCCACAAACCAAACGCACTGGAAAATAACTGGTGCTTCTGAAATGTCTTTATATGTTATGTATCACTCTGTATGCCTCAAGTAATTCTGAAAAAAGTAAAAGTAATTTCAAACATTGTTGGAGTGCCAATAGGTCTAACAATGTTTGAAATTACTTTTACTCTTTTTTTTTAATGGACAGTGTTGGGTTAATTCTAGGGCTTCATACATTTTTCAACATACATAGTTAGATTGTATTTGTTTTGTTTTTTTCCGCTGACAGGGTTCTTTCAAGGCTTAAATAATATTTTAATAAGGACTTCCATTTATGTAATCCTGGACCGTCTCTGCTCTTCCAGTTCTACAAAATATTTTTTTGTAAACCAGTGAGAAAACAAACTTTAGGCGTGAGGACAAATTTCTGCTTGCACACATTTGAAAGCCATGTTTCAATGACTGTCCAGGATCTCCGTATAGTCTCACAATACACAGAAGTCCCTCTGATCGTATCTCAAACTCAAAACTCAAATCAAGAAATGGAATGAAGTCTCAAAACTTCATTCCATCTTATATCGCAAACACAAATCTAACATGAATTATAAAATTAGGACGGATATATTTAAAAGGCTCATATTGATATCCTTCAAATTCCTTCCTTCCATTTGTTTGCATTTTGACACTAATCCCTGCTCTGTAGAGGAGAGTCTCAAGGACATATCCAGGAAGCACTCCTGCCCTTTCAACGTCTGCGATGATGGAATATGACCTAATACTGGAGCTTAAGTACAACACACGATCAACAAGCATCTTTGTATTTGATGAAGACGACATCATCATCGGAGTAATTGGAATGGATGCATAAAGTCGTCAGGCCTCATGTCCGGATGTGCCTTTGGATGTCATTTATAAATCAAGGCAGATAGGAGAGGTGGCTGGGCTCCGGCCGCTCTCTCTCGGCGTTGACGATGAGAAGTGCTGATTATGCACAAGGACACGCTGACATTTGGCACAACTGCTGTTTAGTGTTTCCTCCCAAAAAAAAGAGAAAGTGTTTTGTGTATTTGGAGACGCAGCGGTGAGTCACAGCGGGTGTCTGTAAAAACTAACATGACCGTTACATAGAGAGGAGCAGAGGATCACATATGTTGCAGCCTGATATTCCCACTCAAATAACATGAAAGAATATTTTCTTAAAGCTGGGGTACCTTGCATTTTTATCTCAGGAAGAAAGTAAATCATAAATCAGTAAGTAAGGAATTAGGAATTAAAAGAATGTGGCAATGCTCCAACCTAACATCCAAGCCCATAGTGTTTGCTTTACTGTGGGAGAAGCTGAATAGAGCTTATAAAACTGGATCCATGTTTGGGAATCTGGAGACAAATTTGTAGCAACCAAATATCCAATCAGGAGCGCTGCTGTTGTCCAACAAGGTTCATTTGATCTTCTCACCGATACTACAAAAGGATTATATTTTTAGGACCAGTGTTTTTTTTTTTATACCTGCCGTGCACACCTGGGATTCTGTTCTGAAGAAGTGGGACCACAGCCTCTGCTGGTTTATGCAGGACGTGACCACTCAGAGGGACTCAGAACTGAGGCTTAGAAACGTATTCTAGAAAGACAAAAGTGTTAAGAAGCTGGTGCTGCTGATTATTGTGACATGTTTCTTATGTGACCAAGACTTCCGTCTTCGGCGCAGGTTTTTAGAAATCTTGCTTCAGTAGCAGCGCTGGCCTGTTCCCGCTCAGCCTGCTCGCTGGCCAAATTCAAGGACAGAAGGGACCTGATTGGTCAGTTGTTAGGGCTCATGTCTGGATTTATAAACACATAATCAACATAAAAACACCAGGCTCATACAGAGCGTTAAACCACCCATTTTTAAATGCAAAGTGGAGACTGTGGCCCTGGTGACAAGAGAGTACTTATAGTGAATGAACCTATTAAGGCAAATTTGGAGTTTAAAAGGCGGAAAAAACTCATAATGTGAATTTGGACGGAAGGAGAGGAGATAGCTTGTGCAAACTGCAGAGTGATATGAAGGATGTGCCACACCAACCATGTCTGGCTGCAAATAAGACATGTATAACCAATATACTTTAGATTATTCAAGCAAATACAAAAGAAACTACTGACATGAAGATACAGATTTCTTTCTTAAACCGTCCTTCAGCTCTCCTCTCGATAAATTATCCAGAAGCCATGCGGCACATGAGGACATACTTTTCCTTTCTCCTTCACTTACAAAATCCACTCTGCATTTAAAATCCTGTCCACAGCACACCCAAACAAAGCCTTTTAACCGTTACATGAGCCAGCCACCATCCCCATGGCATCTGCGCTCCCTCCCCCCTCAAGTGGACACAGTAATAGATATTAATTATTAGCTAGCGGCCACTTAAAGCTTGGCCTGTAATGATGGCTCCTGTTGCAGTGGAAGGGCTATTTTTAGCTCGTGCCGCGTGGCTCTGTGTGCTGCCACTGCGAGGTTCCACGGATTAGCTTCTGCACCGACTTGCTCTATGCAAACACTATAAACAGGACGTGTGTAGTGTTGGCTTACACTATAGGAATATGGATTTTTTTGGGGATTGAAGGTTCCGATGAAGAGCCTATAAGAGAGAATGAGGGGTGTTGAAAATATGGGAGATATATAGAAATTGAAATATTAAGCCTTGCGTGTGTGCAAAGAGGTTAAAAAGACAAACTGTGCTTCTGGCTGTTATTTGGTGATAATCAATAGGCGTTTACAAGCTGTTGACTCGAGTTGTGTGTTGACCCGGGACTACAGTGAGAAGTTAGTGTGTTGTTCGAACCCATATTGGCTTTTCATGACTGGGAAGACAGGAACGTTAAAAGTAAAACCCTATGGCTAAAAGCATAAAATACAAACTGCTGCTTTTGACATCCCTGAACAATATCTGAAAAACAGCAAATAAAAACATGCTAACAAGTTGTTTTACTTACCGTTCATTCATTTAATTTTATTTTCAGCAATGGTATTCATGACATGCACCGGCTGCTTTCCCTGGGCCATGTACTGAATATGTATGTGGTGTAAATGAGTGGAGGAATGCTGGTTGTTCTCAGATACAAACGACAGAAGCATGTACTGAGAGGAACAAGACCCTCCTGGTGCTCGCCTGGCATCAACCAACAACCACTATATATGCTGCATATGTGTTCATGTTGGATCTTAAAGGACAACTCACCCTCAAATCCACTTTTTTTGCTGATAAACGATTTAAATGAGTGTCCAATAGTGTTGTCTACATATCCTGGTCATAATTTTGTCACTTTGGTGCAAATTAGTTGAAAGTTAAACTTTCTGCCTAAAACCGTCTGTGAGGCGCCATCTGCTGGCGACCTGTATTACTACATTTGAATTTTGAATCTGGCGCCAACACTGGCGCGGCAGCAAGACCTGACGTCTGAAGCAAGACCTGACGTCAGCAGCCCCCCGCCCAGAGCAATGTAAACGGCCCACTCACGTTCACGCCCCCTTTAGTCCTCCAGGCTACGCCCATTTAGAGGAAGATTTGAACAGGAAATGTGAGTGACGTAAGCTCCGAGGAGCGGGGGTGAGAACCACTTTAACCATGATCTCCAAAATATACAGCACATATTTGAGAGATGGTTTAAAATCGAAACGACCAATGTGGATATTCTGAAAGCATCACTTATTTTTTGAGATTCTGATCAATTGTGATTTTTTTTAAAGATTTCCTGTAACTATTTTTTGTTATACATTATTTTCGGACATTAAGAATTATAATCAAACTTCCAGGTGTCCATTGTGAAATAATATCTCAAGTAGAAAATATATGGTGAAACTGGTGCTATCAATCAATGGTAAATTATAGCGCTATCCCTAAGCTATACCACCAGAGAGAGGTCGAGAGTTTGTTTTGTTATTTGTAATATGTTATCGTAAAAAACGTCAATTTACCTGAGAAGTTGCCAAAACTAATTTGTGGGCAATCATTTTGTTTTAAAACTGCTTTGTGATGTCAATGACATCATACTATTACTGTACAATAATAGTATGATGTGCTTTTTGTACATTTGGATACAATCACAGGGATAACTTTTTTATTATTATTATTTGTTTTGTTAAATAAGTTGAGCTTCAGACATTTTGACACCGGTAAATGTTGAAGTTTATATTAATCGAATGTAACACCAGAATTTTTTGTGCAATATTAGCTTCACTGATCGGGCTCCTTGAATTTTATTGATATCGATTGACCCTCGCCCCCGAACATATGCGGTATTATTATTATTTGCACGCAGGGAAAGGATGTTTACAAACAGCTAATAAAGAATTGTGTTGTGTCCGATGCAGATACACCCGACTGAAGCTGCAGCTCAACCCCGAGGGGAGAATTCCAGTCAAGAAGTAAGTCTCCGCCATGACTCACTCCTCCTACTGCTCCTGCTGCTCCTATCTCGTTTGTCTCCAATCTATCCCCCCGGCTCAAAAAAAAAAAAAAACTAAAACCCACCATATTTGATCATTTTGTGTTTTCATCCCATGCAAAAACACTGTGGGTGGTCAGTTTGCTGGTGAAAAATAGCGGGTTAGTCATATACAGTAGACAAGGGAGCCATAATTTATATTTAAATTTGTTTATCTTGCTTTGTTTACATGTTGTGTGTACTTTTATCCAAGAAAAAAAAATATTGAAAGAAGAATACAAAATGTCATTAAAGGCCCCCATGCTCTGTGGGGCCCCTCAGAGTTTCTGGGAGGGTGTTCCAGAGGCGTGAAGCTCTGCGACCTGGAACCTGGGATCTGGGCTGGTGGAGACAGTGGGTGTAGCAAGCGGAGGCGGCGTGAGGTGGTGTGTGGGGGGAGGAGCTCTGTGAGGTGGGCGGGGGCAGTTCCATGGATGCAGTGGTGTGTGAAGAGGCAGATCCAGTGGAGGGAGCAGAGGACAGGGGTGATGTGGTCATATTTGCGCCTCCTCGTCAGGACCCGGGCCCGCAGTTCTGGATTTGCTGGAGCTTTTGCAGGCTCTTTCCAGCAAATGTTGACACACACACATTGTTCTGAACTGTGCATGTTTATTCAAGTGTTATTTGATCCTAAAGTAATTTACAAATGCGTCTAACTGCAGTAATCAATGTTGTAATTGAGAAACGCTTAATCAGGTTAAAAGAAAATTGAGCCAAAATAGTTAAATGCAACAAATAAACAGACAAAAAAAACAAGGAAATGGAAGGGGAGTGGATCAATGAACTAACGGTAGATTATACAAATAATAATAACAACAATCAGACCACAAAGACACCTTTCTACATGCACACAGCCACAAGATACACAAAGACATGTCGCATACACGCACATGCATACACGCCACACACACACACACACACACACACACACACAAGCCACAAAATACACACATGCACACAAACATGTCGCACACACATACGTCCCCGCCACACACACACACAGACAGACACTAAACGCGCACACACACGCCATACGCACAATCACACGCCATACGCACAATCACACATATCATGAAAATCTCGCATGAAAAGGATCAAACACACCAGAGTACACCACTAAAAGCAATGTTTGATACAAATACAGAAAGGTGTAAAGAAATGATTTTGAATACGTAGTCACTGCACATGTTACTGCAGTTTAGACTAGTATGTTTTAATTTATTAAAGTAATATTATTACATTCAACTATTTGTAGAAGCCTGCCTCACATTTTCAGGATGATTGTTCCAGATTTTAGCTGCATAAATCTGAAATGTTTAGTCCTTACTCTGAGACCAGCAGAAGACTTAGAACATGCTTATCTCCAATATAGACGCACAATGTTATCTCCAATGTAGACGCACAATGTAACAATGTAATGAGGAGCTCAGCCACAGATGGCCCAAGCAATAATCAGACTAGAGCTGTAACAATTAATTACAACTAATCCATTTCTTAATTTGTTAATTTAACTAATTTAGTAATCAATTAAGACTGTAACTTGCTGAGAAGAGGTTTTATGACTCAGATCATTCTATAATGAAAGCAGAATGATCACAATGCTAACAATGATACATGACATTATCATGAAAGGAATATAGATAACATTTTTGGTGTAACAAAAATTTTTCACAGGGGGATCCGTTGACATCAGAATTCAAATGTATAAAAATCTCATATTCACTGAGCTTTGAAGATCAAAACAACCAATCCATTTCATTTTCTACTTGCTTCTACAACTTGCATGAATGTGTAAATCGTTCTCCTTTTAGCATTTTCACCACCTGAACACGAAGCCTTCCTGTTTCCATTAGTGAAGCTTTGATAACCTCCCGAGAGGAAAGCAATGGGTGTTAGCGAGCAAGGCACTCCAGGCCTCGTCACCGCATTTAGGGAATTAACCTCCTGACAGCGCGCTCTTGTCCACTGAAGTCATCTCAGAACATTCCCTGCTCCCTTCTGTCTCCCCGTGAACTGCCCAATAATGACTCAGTTACTTTGATCAAGTGGAAATCTCTGCACAAAGAAAGCAGATGTTGTATTTACCAAAGGATTAGAGTTATACTTTAAAATTGGAACTCAAAAATAGAGTCAAATACAAAGAGCCTGAGGGAGAGCAACAAGTTGAGAATTGAGTGTCAACAAAACATTATTGTATATTTTCCCCCAATGACAAAACTCTTCTTTGAATGCATTCTTTTCGCCTATTGATAATACGAAATGTTTGGATTCAGACGATACATTGTTCTCTCTTGTGGCATCATGGCACGGCATCTCCTCTGATCTCTCCAAAGCCATACTGTGTTCTCGTGCAGCCGATCTCGCTCCTGTCTCGCTGTTCAGATGACTCTCTAAATGATCTGCTTGTCTCTCTAGTTTCTTCAGAATGTTCGCTGACCGGAAGAGAGTGGAGACTGCTCTGGAGAACTGCAACCTCCCGTCTGGCAGAGTAAGGCCCTTTCCCAGAACAGATATACTGCATGTTGTGAACAATTCTAAAGTGAGAAAATTTGCTGTATTTCTAATCAACCCAAGTGATAATTGAAAAAACATTATTATTTTTTGTAGGAAGCCCTGGTCAATAGAAAGACCACATTCATGTAAAAACAATGTGTGTAATTATTTTGCTGGCCAGAAAGTAGTCTGGGTGTTCACATTTAGATTGCATCCCATATAAATATTCCTGACATAAACATCTCACTGTGATTACATATATGTCAAGGGCTGTTTTAAACGTTTTTTAAACAAATAGTTGGGCATTTTTTCTTTTGATTAATTGTTTGTTAATTGTTAGTTTTCAAATAAATTTTACATAAATAAAGCTGATGCAACTCCACTTGAGAACAACTTCAAAAAGACTAGATGCTTTTAAATAATTCCATGTAATTCCGTAGTAATTATAGCTTTGAGTCATAAAGCTTCTTCTTAGCAGTCAGCGAAGCAGTTTTGGTTCAGGTGAGGTTGAAAAAAGCGATCAAGCAATTAGTAAATTATTATTATTCTTTCACTAATCTATTCGTCCTGCTGTGGGGAGATTTCAATGTTGCAACGCACATACAGGACAGTCGTAAGAGCACACAGGGAGCACACAAAATATACGATAAACGCACTATAACTAGATGCTATGTTTCTTCTGTAAATGCTCCAATATCAATATCGATATCTGCATCAATATATCTCTATCTTTTTATATATATAGTGTAAAGTTATATACATATAAGGCATGATTATAATAAATAGATAAAGTGACATTCAGGGGACATTCTGAAAATTACACAAGATTACTGTATTTACTATTTGTTGATGAACGACATGTAAAGGCTCAGCAGTTCTCATTGTACAGTGTGACAGCAGCAGGAAGGAATGACCTGCGGAACCTCTCCTTCACACAGCGAGGGTGAATAAGTCTGTCACTGAAGCTGCTCTCCGTAGCTAGCGTCTGGGGTTTGACTCTACAAGACTATACAATTACCGGCTGCTGGATTTCAACAATTCTGCTTTCACATTTCCTGACGTTTGATGGTTATTGTTATTATATAAATTAGCTGAGTGTAACAGGTTTTAATATGATGCCCCTTTGCTCTTTCTCACGCCTCACAGATCGTTTCATCAGCTCTGTTTTCAGTCCGCACACACTGCATTGCCCCATGACAGAAGTTGATTGTTTGTTCGCTCATTTGTAAAGAGCTAATTTCCAGGATTTATGCCTGACTACCCCGCTTCCATAGAGAGGTGACACCAGACAAGAGCTCCTCAAAGTTTTTAGTGCAACATCAAGCCGATACCATCACCTCTAAATACTATCAAGTAGCTCTATGATTGATCGATTGAAAAAATGGAAAATATCATGACATATGTTGCCTTTAAGAATAACTGCGGACAAACCAGAAGACTCACATTTAAACCTTTTTTTCCATTCGCATTGACAAACAAAACAGCTTTATCTTGCTCAGATGACGCTCGCTCATTATAAAGCATCCCTTATGTATGGACCTGTCAAGTCAAGTGATGCGATACATGCTAAATCACACATGCACGGGGCCATTTCTAATGAGCGGCTTGGAAGGTAAACACATTTGTCTCTGATGCGCAGACTTAACATGCTGTTCTTAATAAGCGAACGCACGTTGCTCTCTGAATGTCCACCGGGATTTGCTGTTATTTCACTGTACCAATCACCAAGTAATTAAGGATAAACGGAAGAGCTGCTAATCCGTCAAACACACAAATGCTAAATGACGTGCACAGGTCCCCGGACTGATCCACACAGATTTGTAAGGGCCCCATCCAATGCCTTTAATATGGGTAATAGGGTCTATGATTTAAAACTGGATTTATATTTTGGTGAATACGTTTCCAAAGAAGTGGTTTGAATCCTCCATCAATTATCTTGGTTCTGTCAAATTAAAGGTATGGTATCTAAATCATGTGTACTATTATGTAAATAATTTTTACTTGAGGCAGTGAATTTGCAAAAAAAAGTAAAATCATACAATTTGGTTCAATTCATTATTCTTCTCAAAAATAGTAAATGTTCTCAAAATAGAATCCTAATTAGGGTTTGCTCAAAGAATATCCACAGATGCAAATAATGTGCTATAAACAAACGTTTATACACAGAGAAAACACTATATTGGCTTCATATTTCCGCTGAGGTAGCTTACACTTTGCAAAAATATCGTGCAATTGTGTTTTGCCAAACTGAAAATTAAACAAAAACGAGTCGGACCCTTCACAAAGTTGTCCCCCAAACAACATACGCTTCTACGGACATGCTGAAAAAACCAATATATTCTTAAATTTCACGTTTAAATGGGAAATTTAAGAAATGTTAATTTCTTTAAAAAGTAGTTTTGCTGTTAATGTGTGGATGAATATGTCTGAAGTGGATCGGCCCAGTCACTGCAGAAACTGTAAATTGCCCAAACAAAAATCTTCCCCATGTTTAATGAGCAACCTCTTCAGGATCCACTGATGCGTCTGCAGCAGCACTTACCTGATTTATGTGCTCCGGGGCCTGTGATAGCCCTGAACCTAACGCTTGGAGGTTATCTACACGCTAATGAGTCATTGAATGTGTGAGTGGAGAGAAGAGGTCAGGCTAATAGAATAGTCCTAGTGTGTAAAGTCCACTTCTGTTTTTAACAAATGGCATTGCCTCATTTTGTTTTGTAAGCTCATGTGGCATATTTTGATGTGAGCCACATTTTTCTTAAGTGGTGAAGCAGGTTTGAGATGGGGATAATTAGAGTTGTTTTGAGACACTAAGTGAAATAGGCAAGGAAAGCTTGTTTATTTGCAGCTTTTCGCAAAAACATTTAAATTGGCCAGTCAAACTTTGACGAAATCAATGTCAGCATCTGCCTCTGCCTCAGAAAACCCATCTCAGTCAAAGATTAAAAGATGTTCTTTTTTATGAAGATAATAAAAATGTAATTGATCGTTATAAATTAACTATTAAAAAGAAAAGAAAACACACAAACACACACAATCACACACACACATGAATACATTTCTATGAAGTTAAAAAGTGATTCTATTTTTGTCTCTGTCGCTGCGAAAAATCACTAAATGGTCAATAAAAAATGACCTCAAAGTGAACTGTTTTTTCAAGATACACCTGGGGGAATAGCCCAAGGCACACTGTTTGAAATCACAGCTTTAATGAACATTAAAAGGATGTAAATGAACCCAAAATAGCCACCAGGCCAGTTTTCATCCGTTGCCCTCTTCCATTGAAGCTTTGCTCTTTGTCTGTTTCTATCACATCTACTGCAACCCTCAAACGATTGGTTATAATTAGACATAGAAAAAAAGAATCAATCAATTGAATTGTTTTCTCTTTCAGAGTGACTCTATCCCACAAGAGGACTTCACTCCAGAGGTTTACACACAGTTCATCAGCAACATCTGCCCTCGTCCAGAACTCGACCATATCTTCTCTGACATGTAAGAATACAGCTCACTATATAATATATTTCATTTTTAATTTATGAATGCATTTTATGTGTGCCATTGAAACCACCCTAGGAAAATCTGGTTAATTCATTTTGCTTCTGTATGTGTTAGGTTTTAGCATTTTGTCGCTAGTAGAAAGACAGATGGAAAGAGATTTTCAGTTGTCCGGTAGCAACAGAAACACATCCATCCATACAAACAAAACAAATAAATGGAGATGTATACGTCCAAATACATACATTTCTCTTATGAGCATGGCCTTTCTTGGTGCTCATAAATGCATCTGCTGGTCCTGTCTCAGTAGAATCTGGATTACAGGAGAAGCAGTTTGATCCAGTTATTCTCAATGGACTGGTGTGTTTAAGATAAATAGGAGTTTATATGCACAGTTTAGGTTCACATGCCTCTTGTTCAACCTAATTAAACCGCAGTAGCCAAAGGATCATCAAAGGATATTCACAAGTGCTTTTTAAACACAGTCCCTGTTGTCATCAGCGTCTGAAGGACATTTTTACACTACTGTACATATATAAGAGCCGTGTCTTATCTTTTATTGTTTTCAACACTAAACCATAGTTTTCATCCACTAACAGATTCACTTCGGTGTTATTATCCCCAAGTACTTGGATTTTCCAGCATTCTTCAAGCATTGATGGCAAACAGTGATTTATAGAGATTGTTTGGTACATATCCAAATGAGAATGCCTGGGTTTGACTAGAATAGATCTTATAACCTGAATAAATTCCATATGTTGTTAATGATTCATGAAGTTCTGGGAGGGAGTCCAATAATCCCAATTTAAGCCATTTTATTGTAGTTTTTTCAGCAGGAATTAAAATGCACCCCAGCACTTTCATTAAAATAAATGAAAAGTCTTTTAATCAAACAACACATTTCATCCACAGCTAAATGTAATCACCAGTCCTTTGGTGCCTCTCTCTCCCTCGCCACATTTCCACAATTTTAATTAACTTGTTGAAAATTAGCAAAAAAAAAATTCTGCTGTAATTTGAGTTTGCTGTCCGCAGGGGTGCAAAGAGCCGTTCGTACCTCACGGTGGAACAGATGACAGAGTTTATCAACAGTAAACAACGAGACCCACGGCTCAACGAGATCCTCTACCCTCCTCTGAAGCCCGAGCAGGTGCAGCTGCTGGTGGACAAGCACGAGCCCAATCCAGAGCTGGCCCAGAGAGGTCAGTGATCTACACATGGGATGTACATGTATGTGTGTTCTGGTAGTAATGTTAGAAAAATGTCTATGGTTGCATTTCATGATCACCTCCAGGGTATGTGTTATCAGGACTACATGTTCTATTGAAATAGCCTCCGAACAGCACAAACTATGAAAAAGGGATTTGGGTTGTCAGGAGTTTGTAAATGCAGATTTGAAAAACATCACTATACTCATGTTATTCTTGTCAGCATCTTGTCAGCAAAATGCGCTGGATACATATCAGCCATTGTGAATGCGTTTTAATGAAGACATATTTTTCACCATTTACATGATCATGACACTATGGTGACTAAGAAGAGTTTTAAAACCCATCCTGTCACGTGATGAAGTTAATGAAGACCCAAAATTGCAGAAATGCCAAAAATAAGGGTTTAATGATAAAAAAGTCCAGATGAAACCAACTCAAAATCCAAAACTTAAACAGGACCAGGAACAGGACGGAAACAGACAGACATGAACAAGACAGGACGTTGACAAGACAATGGACTAGCAACAAGGGGAGAGAAGCACATGGTACATATAGACACAGACACAGGTGAAACACATCAGGGCGGGGCAGACAATCAAGACAGGGGCAAACAGGACAGGAAGTACAACTAAAACCAAACCACAGAGAACAATGTCAAAATAAAACAAAAATAAAACCCACACCATGACAGTACCCCCCCTCCAAGGGACAGCTCCCAGATGTCCCAAAAAACCAAACACAAACCAGGGAGGGTGGAGGGGGCGCGGCGGAGGGACCAAAGGCAGTTCAGAGGCTGAAAACCTCAGGTCCGAAGCACTGTCCGAACAAATCTGGGACCGGAGCTGAAGCCCAGTGATGACCTTCCATACGGAACTGGCTCACCCCGGGCGGAGACAAATGCCCAGCGGTGACACAGACGGGAACAAAACCACCCCAGTCGGAGAACAATGTCTGGCGGTGGAAACAGGTAAAGGGAAGGAGAGGTCATCAAAGGGGAGCAGGCAGACACTGGTGGGGAATCCAGGCAGACGGGAACATCCAGACGAGAGCTTCACTGTTAACCCCACAACAAGCCAAGGGGAAGGGAACAGAAGACCACCGCGGACGGACGATAATGCCCGGCGGTGGTGCAGGACAAATAACCACCCCAGGCGGAGTTCCTTGCCTGGCGGTGGTTCAAGGTAGCAGGTCGAGAGGTAGCAGTGAAGGGAAGGATATCCGCAAAAAATAAATAAAAAACCTGGTGACAAACGGGGAGCCGGTGTGGTTAAAAAATAAAAAAGGCATTCCGCTGAGTCCGTGTGATGGCTAGTCCATTCTGTCACGTGATGAAGTTAATGAAGACCCAAAATTGCAGAAATGCCAAAAATAAGGGTTTAATGATAAAAAAGTCCAGATGAAACCAACTCAAAATCCAAAACTTAAACAGGACCAGGAACAGGACGGAAACAGACAGAGACATGAACAAGACAGGACGTTGACAAGACAATGGACTAGCAACAAGGGGAGAGAAGCACATGGTACCTATAGACACAGACACAGACACAGGTGAAACACATCAGGGCGGGGCAGACAATCAAGACAGGGGCAAACAGGACAGGAAGTACAACTAAAACCAAACCACAGAGAACAATGTCAAAATAAAACAAAAATAAAACCCACACCATGACACATCCATCCATTTAATAATCCATTTCTGGGTTGAGGTGGGATGTCACCCAGTACCCAGGACCTCCAGGCTCAAAGGCCAATGCTCTATCAACTGAGCTACTGTCGCCCCAGTTGTCTTTTTGAACTCCTGAAGCACTCACTTGCACTTCTGCAAAAGTAAAATGTGCTTGCCTTTAATCATCATCTTAACAGAAACATTCCAAATACCTTGATCCCATGTATTTTGGGCTTTGACATACCTATACAACCTTTTCACAAAGCACTTTACAATGCTAGTGTATTATTCATTTCTTTCGGCACACAATTGTATCCACAGCTGCCCAACACCCAGGACCCTCCGAACCCCACCAACCATTTATTCACTCTTACCTCTTTAAGTCTTACCTACACATACACAGGTAAACCCATGGAGAACGGCCCTGCACCACAAGTTGAACCCAGGATCTAAGGACAGTGAGTGGCTTCACCCAAACACGATCCATGAGTGGACAAGCATCTATTCTCATTCATATTCGCTGAAACTAGTGCCAGGTTATGAACACTTATGAACACAACTACAGTACTGTTTTAATACTGTCTGCAGGGTTCTGACTTCTGGCCCGAAAAACACTTTCTTTGCGAGCCTCTGCTTTACGCCTCTGGCTAAAGAAACACACACACTATCAAGAGAGGTCAGAGCTCGCCTGTTTATACTCTCCTTCTAGTAGAAAAGTTAATTTGGCTTTTTAGAATTACAAATATTACATTTGCCGCAACTGAAATCTTCACTATTCAGATCATTGCGTCAAAAAACAACGACAAAGCTCTGTATTCTGAATTTCGTTGCAAACATTTTTCAGAGATTTTCAAAGACTCGGACCCCCGTAGTCCCCACTCTGTCCGCTCCCCTGCCCCGGTCCTCCTTGGTGGATTTGGCAAGACCGTTACCAAGGCGACGGCACTGTGTCCGAAGGCACAGAAAGCGAGGTCATGATAGTGGGGTGCCAAGGAATGCAATGTTAGAGAGTGTGTAAATATCACATGACGCTCGCTGAGCCACAGTTCGGCTGCAACCTCACTCTGACCAAACAACCATCTACAAGAACAGGAACGTTGTTCTCATTATTATATTACTCAAAGAACACATACTTTAAACCCCTTTTTTGGCCATCAAAAATGATAATGGGACTATTTACTTTGTCATTTCATGTTTTAGAAATATTATCTTCATTGGAAATATACAGTATGGTGAAACAAGTATAAATTGTCAAAACAAAAATATCACTTCTCTTAAACAGATCAGCATGGAGGAATGGGCAAAAATACCAGCAACAGTGAGTGAAAACCTTGTGAAGACTTACAGAAATCCTTTGGCCGCTGTCATTGCCAACAAAGGCTCCTCTATTTGCAAATAAATTCTTGTAATTGTCTAGATTATAATGAATTTCTCACTGTTGAAGTATACCAATAATAACCAAAATATAATTACCTAAACATCCCTAAAGAGTTGCTGCGTATCATATTTTTCATTACCAAATAACATCCAACTGGATTCTGCTGGACATGTGCTGCTCTCATTTCTGTCTGTGGCAGGAGCTGCCAAAAATGAGATGAGAACTAAGAAAACGTGAAGTCTTGGACAGATATGAACTCATTTACATTTCCAATCTAACAGCTCTGCCAAAGCGGTGCCGTAGTCATTACCGTGTTAGGTTCATGTTGTGATTAAAAGGCACAGAAGTATCGCACAAGCAAACAAAGCCAATCAAAATGATGCTGGTTATATCACACATAGCATACATGACACTGTCCACCGCGTGTGTGTGTGTGTGTGTGCGCATCTGTGTGTGCGTGTGTGTGTGTGTGTGCGTTTGTGTGTGTGTATGTGTGTGTGTTTGTGCATGTGTGTGTGTGTGTATGTATATGTGTATGTGTGTGTGCGTCTGTGTGTGCGCATCTGTGTATGTGTGTGTGTTTGTGTGTGTATGTACTATATATGTGTGGGCATCTGTGTGTGTGCCTTTGCGTTTGTGTGTGCGTGTGTGTGTGTGTGCGTTTGTGTGTGCGTGCGTGTGCTGTACGCAAAGGGGCTGGATAAAAACATGTTGCTACTTGCTCTTTCTGTTCTGTTTATATTGCTTTTTTGGCTTTTGTTCATAAGTTTGAAACACATAAATGAATCTCACCAGTACCAAAAACTTCTGTGGTCTCCAGCGTGTTCCATCACATGCCCGGTGGTAGCGGTTCAAGATAAATTGTGTTCCTCTTTAAACAGACAAGCAGCCTCTGATGACGAGCTGTGATGCTGTTGTGTAGTGTGCGTGTGTGTGTGTGTGTGTGTATGTGTGTGTGTGTGTGTCTATGTGCTGGATGTCTGCCCTCCACTGTCCCTCTCACAGACTTCTCCATATGAAGTATTTATCCAGCCTGAGGACGCCCACCATCTGTTCTGTACAAGGGTCCTCACATCCTCGTGGTGCTGCCTCTTTCTGTGTCGCTCTTATCTCTTTGCACTTTCTTTCACAAACCACGACAAACTGCTTATAACGGCCATATTTTATATACATATTTGACTTTAGCATAGCACTTTGTACAGGTGAAAGATAGAAATCATAAAATTAACCAATAACTTTGATGGCATTTTACACCTTGCCTAGGGACTACAGTTGGAAACCAGCTGTTAGCTAATACTGACAATGTTGATTAGTGTTTATCGTCCCTATTCAAAAAAACAAATAAATAATTTAAATAAATAAATAGAATATTGCTAGAAATTCTATGTATTTCTGTGGCTCAACTTACAATGTGAAAATAATATATGAAAGAGTCATTGCACACTGTGAAGCTTTCTTGTTGTATAATAATCTCGACAATTGGCTCACAAGAAATCAGTCTATAAAATCCCCAAATAAAAACGTCTATGAAATGTAGAATAAATAAAATGTCTAATTTACTACGTCATTTCACTCTCCAGAAATATTCTCAAGATTAAGTGGAAAGGTGCATTGTGTGACTTTCAATCTAAAAATAAAGTCGATTCTTTTACACGTTTGACCCAGCGGCGATGAGTGGGCTGCATGGTGCCTTTACTTTCCAACACAGTGGTCTCTAAGATGTTTTAGGATCAGTTCTTTGTAATGTTTTCTCTGCTGTAAAAACACTCTCACAGCCACTGGGTCCCTACAAGGTTAATTACGAAAATATATCACCTTTTTAAAATGTACCTTTAACTCACTGACTGCCATTTACGTGTTTGTCTGAGACTGGTGATTTCTGTCAAATAGGAGAACAAAACTAGCTAAAAATGGTCTTTCAGAATCTGGTTCCATATTTCACATACA